AAAGTTGATTGGACCTATGACATAACACTTATACATACTCAGTGAAGCCCTAAATTCATCCATGGCGGGCCTTCAAACCAACGAGTTTGACACTATTTGTTCTCAATCTAGCAAGAAAAGAAACCATGAACCAATGGAAATTGAAGAAGTAGCACTTGCCCTCTTGATGCTATCTCAGGACAATAGGAGTTGGCACACTGGTCCAGCCACCGGTGCCACCACTGAACTCATAGAAGATGTACTAAACCCCGCCTCTGACGCAGTCACTATCACTAGTGAAAGAACTGGCTCTTTAGGCTCAGCCGGCGCTGACGAGAAATCAATGAACCCTTTTCTCCTACTATTATAGCTTCGCCGCTAGACGAGAATATGTCGTATGTTTGTAGCGTATGAGGCAACTCCTTTTCGTCATACCAAGCACTCGGGGGCCATAAAACCAGCCACCGTGATCGGTCTCAATTCGCCTCCACTACTGCAATCACCAACACCTTTAATATCTCTTATCTCAACCCAAGCGGTAGGATTCACAAATACAACGTCTGTAACAAGACTTTTACCACTGGCCAAGCTTTGGGTGGCAACATGCGGGAGCACTATGAAGACGTGATAAAGGTCAGCAAGAAACCCAATGTGATCACTTCCAAAGGCAATGGCCGCACCACCGACAACTTCGACTTGAACCTGCCCGCGTTACCAGAGACTTACTCAGATTTTACGCTTTACTCTGGCGAGAAAATCTAGGTTCTTGGTGATCAGCAGAAAGTAGAGAGTCCTATTCCTTTCAAGAAATAGCGTTTGGATGAATGAACTGTATTATAGAAAATTGATCCAGAAAATTTATGTATTTTCTGGTGAAAATTATTTTAGGGTTCAATTGTTTTTATTCGTTTAATCAAAAGAAATTTAGATATATACATATTTGATAATTAGACGTTTGTTTATTTGTTCTCGTGTTCTTGAATTTTAGTCCACGTGTTTGGATGCAATATGGAATAAAATTAAACGCTATAATGAATATAATTCGATTTATTTACTTTTCATCTTCAATTTTGTCAAATTAAGAACATTCAATTTTCTCTTCCAAGCCGAGGTAATAATATGACAAAATTTAATAGTTGAGATTTAATTGGTGTATAAGTTTGCAAAGTTTAAATTATTAATTTCATTGTCCATGATGCTTATTTGAGAAATATCCACCATGTCAAAAATATGGTTTAGTCATTGGAGTTGGAATTAAATAATTAAGCATGAGGACTGAGATAATGTGTGTTTTACTTTTTGTTTTTCATAAATGATCGAGCAAGTTCAAATCGACGTAATAGAAATTTAGAATGTATTTGATTCATAAAAAGTGATATTTTCTAAAATGTATGTTAAAAAGTCCATAAAAATTTTCTTTTTTTTTTTTTAAAAAAAATATGTTGTCTTAAAAAGTAGGGACACGTACACCTCCTTCCAAACTTGGTGCCACCAATTTTTCGATTTGACTCCCTAGAATCTTATTTCAAGCATTAAATGAACTTTGAAATGTTTTCTCCCTCCTTGGTATGTAGATACAAGTTATTGCGTAGCAGTTCGGCCACGAATGCGTCACTTGTGTTCTGTGAATTGGTTTCCAATGATATACTGTGTGCATTGCGAATTGGTTTCTAGTGACATATTATGTGCATTGCGAGGGTGGATTCAAGAACGGATTAAAAAAAGAAAAAAAACTATTTAAGTCGGGCTACTTTGTAAAAATACACGGCAAAAATTAAATTGCCTGCAGATTGGATAGAGTTGTACGGTCCAATCCCCATACATTCGCCCCTAGTGCATTGTGAATACCTTTTAATCCATGTGTTCTGTGTTTGGTTACTTCTTCGATTACTTGTTCTCACACCTATCATCATGTTTCACCTTGAGGCGTCCTATTTGGTAATTTTAGCCCCGAATGCCTCTAAGTTGATCATGAAAGGTGATATGTTCATTATTAACTTATGGGCGTCCAATTAATGTAGATACTGATCTAGATACAAAATGGAGTGAAGCACTGAATGTTAGAATAGGCAATAATATAGGTAAGAACACTTTAACAACAATAAAAATCAATAGTATTTATATAATAATGTGCTTATACATTATTAGATCCCTGTTTGGTAGAGATTGAAAACAGGTTTTTAGTAAATTTTGATAATAGTTGATGAAATGTGTGATTGAAAAGTTGTGTCTCATAAAATGTGAATAAAATTAATTTTTGACATTGACTTTGAGATTTTAATTGCATTTTAATCCAAACCAGACACGGACTATATAATACGTATTATTGTTGCAATATACTTGTATATGATGTTGATGCCGTTATCAAACTAGTGGAGTATTTGATATGCGACAAGAATACGTGATTTTCTTATACATGTGCATAGGCTTGTATACATGCATCGCTGATATGCATGTGTTGTTAGAAGGTTCCTTGGTGGCACAGGGATTGTGAATCGGTACAACGAGTACTATATATCTAAACTAGGCCTAATTTGTGATTTAAGTATCATTGGAATTTCACGAGTTATTGTAGCAACTACAATGTCACACTGTGAAATTCTAAGTAGAAGCAACTATGATACACCCATGACGGTGCTGACATGTTTCTTATTGACCATATTAGTATTTGAACTCATGTGGTGTACTATAGTGGAATTTGGACCAAAAAGATAAAAAGTGGATACTTTGAGATACGAAAGGAAGGATAAAAAGAAGGACTAGAGAGGTAGGAGTGATAAGAGTTAATTATGATGTAAAACTATGATTGTTAAGTATTTGATTAAGTAGCGTAAATATTGTGAAGATTAAAAGTAGGGCATATTTCAAAAAAAAAATCAAAAAAGGGGTAATGGGGCTAATTTTCCCTCTCATAAAAAGGACAGGAACAAAATAAACTAGGGAAAATTTCATATGTAAGATATGAAGTATGATCCATTTCGAAATTAAGAAATTATTTATGAAATAATTAATTAAAAATATTTTATTAATTAAATATATGAAGATCGCAATTCTATATAATTCTACACAATTGATCAATTAATTAATCACAAATTATTTCTAAGACTCGGATCAAATTATTTCCTTGTCACAATCAACAATTTATTCAACGATTAAAATATCACAAATTTTAAAATCGCAACTTATTTAATGATCACAAAATTATCAAATGAATTGGTCACAAATAGTTTTTCGATCACAACTTAATAAATTGTAGGTCACAATCATATTTTTTAAGTCACATATTATTTTTTTCATCACAAATTAACTAAATTATTACCACAATCAATTAAATAACTGGTCACAATTTTTTTAATAGTCACATATTAACAGATTTAATGGTCACAATCAACCAAATATTGGTCACAAATACTCTTTTTCCCACGCCACCCTACCCCAACGGCACCACCACCGCACCGCATTACCGTCACCACAACTACCACGTGCAAACACCATCCACAAAACTCATCCAAAATCATTACACAACCATCGCAGCCGCAACGGCATCGACGATTACAACCACCATAAAATAGAACATAATATAACTAAAAGAATAAAGAACGGCCGCTTTGAGTGGCTCTATGCGCGAGGCGCCACATGTAGTTGCTTTAGCAACGCTGCACACGGTGTGATGTCATTGTCCGTTGAGCGTGACGCTGCTACTGTGGCTTACGGCGGAATTGCTACTGTGTCATTGCCTGCTACGCGACGATGGTGAGTCTCTCGCCTGTTGTAGAAGAGAGACAATGTAGAAGATAGATAAAAAGAATAGAAATGAAAAATGATTTATGGTTAGGGTTTGGGTTAGATGGGGAGTGGGGTGGGATGGGATGGGGGTGGAGTGGTTATGTAGATTAAATTACTTTTATAATATTATTATTAATATTTAAAAATTATATTATTATCTGATTCTTGTATAAACAAACTATAAATCTGATTTTTGAAAAGTAATTTTTAGAAAGTAGGCTTCCATGTAATTTTCACAATAAACTATCCCATTTGTTAACTAGATTAAAACTGGACCCAACTCAAAATGATATTTGTGCTACCGTGAATCAGCCTGAATAAGAGAATTCATGGCCTTGACTGGATTAAAACTGGACCCAACTCAAAATGATATTTGTGCTACCATGTATTAGCCTGCTCAATTAGAGAATTCATGGCCTTAAGTATGGGCTTCCATGGATCAGATTGGATCAGTGGGCTGAAGCCCAAAATATGGAGCCTCCATAAATCTGAGGGAAAATTAGATCAAATACCCCCAAAAAATGAGAATTTTGAATAGTACTCTAAAACCAATTAAAATATCTAATCACGTATTAAATACGTTCAAAATCTTACAACCCCAAATCAAAACCCTGGATTCCAAAAAACTCCCAAACCATTCACAACAAAACTTTTCAACTCTCTACTCCCAAACTACTT